CAAATTTAAGAAATCCAACAAGGTAGGATAACGAGGTGCAGTTGATTTTATCCCGTTTAAATTATTTTTTTCCATGTTGATAAATTATTATACTTATGAAAGTTAAAGATATGATATGTATGATATGGTCATCCGATACTAAAGATATGAAATGTATTGAGTTCTTATCGTTTCTAAAGATATGATGACGGTATGATATTTAAACACATGTTTTAAATCTTTTATTCAAGATTGCACCATAAATTCATGGCCTATTGAGTATTCTCATATACTCACCATTTTTTCCTACTCCTATAGGTTAGAACATGTTGATTGTTGGCGGACGATGAGGTGTAATCGTGGTACCAGGATTTATGAAACTAAATAAATAATCCGATGTAACGTGACTATGGATTTTTTTAGCATTATTTTGATTTATTTATCACACGAATCTTGTTATTTGGAATGTATTTTATTTGAATATGTTTCCTACATGTTTTATTATTATTATTATTATTATTATTATTATTATTATTATTATCATCATCATCATCGTGAACAGTGATACCTAACTCGAGTGATTAACCTATTTTTTACTTTTTGTAGTCCCATTTTACCTAGTACAACTGTTGGCATTGGGAATATCAATTACACTGCTATCTTGACCTTAACAGTTGATAAATATGTCCCTAGTTTTTAAGCATTGAAAATGGATATGCTTTTTACTTTTCAAATAAAACCCAATTTTTCTAACTGGATGTCCCAAATAAAATTTATTAAAATGTGAACAATGACAGAGAAGGAAAAATGAATTTAAATGATAATTATAAAAATGAAAATGACGATATTATAGTAATATTGGGTTTTCATGTTTTAAATGATACGTTAATAATTGTTTATTTGTTAGTCGTTTCCTTGCGTAACGTTTGTTAAAAATTAATATTTTTTTTAAGATAAATGAATTTAATGAAGAATTAAATTTAAAGTTCTTAAATATGTAAGAATGTGAAAGATCTTTAGCACTCAACGACCACTAATCGGCCACCCTCCGATGACTCTAAGATATGTAAAGGGGTAAGAAGAGGAATTTATTCAAACGTTTTGTATAATTTTCATCTTATAAATTGCCTATTTTTAAATTTTAAGACATGCATGTTTTTCCTAGCTAAATTTATATTATATTATGAGAATATGGGTATAACATGTTAGACTTGGTACATGCACGTGACAAGTGACTTAATATGAATTTTTTAGGAAATGGCACCGCCTACCCACACTAATTTGATGTGAGACTTATTGCAAGTAGTACAAGAGTTGAGTGAGCAGAATTAAGGACCTCTACCACAAAATACAATGCCACATCAAAATGCACTTTCATTTGTCCATAGAGTTGTTTCAGTGGTTGAGTAGTTTCGTAGGTATAAGCCTCTTACTTTTGATGGAGATTCTGACCTACTAGCTGTTGAGGAGTAGATTAGAGGCCTGGAACGCATCTTTCGACACATTTCTTGTACGGATGCACAAAAGGTACCGTGCATGAGTTTATGTTTGTTGGAGTGGGAGTCTGTCTCACGCACTAGGATCGAAGAGCAGCAGTGCAACTTGACTTGGAAGCAATTTAAGGACGAAGTGATGGCAAAGTATTTCTCACAGGCTTTGAGAGCTTTCAAGGAATTAGAGTTTCTGTAGCTCAGATAGGAGGAAATGTCGCTTACTGATTACGAGAGACAATTTGAGTAGCTCTCCAGATATGATCTGCACTTGGTAGATACAGAAGTTAAGAAGATAAGGAGGTTCGAAAATGGACTACACTCGGAGATCGGCATGATCATCATATCTCATCGTTTCACTTCATATCGTGAAATGTTGAAGAGGGCTCATGTTGTTTCATATCAAAGGACTACATTCAAACAATATGCCCAGTAGGGCAATGAGTCATTAGGAAAGAGAAAGTGGAATGAGTAGAATAAAGACAGACGTAACTAGCAGAATAAAAGACCAATCACAGGAATTCATATTGGTGGGACAAGTGGGAGTATTACACCTTGTTCTAAGTGTAATAAACTCCACATGGGTGAATGCTTGCTTGAAAAGAACATGTATTTTCAATATGGTAAGCCAGGACACATTGCTCTAGACTGTATTGAGCCTCCAAAGAAGAAGAACGATGATCAGGACAAGCCAAGAAAGGAAAGGCCCGAGTTTTTTGCACTAAATCAGTATGAGGTGGAGCAGGATCTTAATGTGATAGCAGCCATTCTATTATTATCTGATGTACCTGCTTATATACTTTTTTACTCTAGGGTTACAAATTCTTTTATCGCTGCATCATTTGTTGTTAGGTCTAATTTTGCATGTGTGAAAATGAATAATGGATTAGAAGTTATCATCTCTTCAGGAAGAACTCTTTGCACAAATCAGATGACTAAAGCTATGGAGTTAGATTGACGAAAAGGTATTACTTGCAGACTTATAACTTTTAGAGATGAAAGACTTCAACGTCATTCTAAGCAGGGACTGGTTGGGACTCAATTATGCGACATTTGATGTCACGGGAAATAAGTGTTGTTTAGTGGTGGCAAAAAAGCTCGTCGGTTCGGACGGCTCGGGCTCGGCCCAGAAAAAGCCCAAGCCGGGCCCGACNCCTCGGCCCGAAAAAAGCCCTAGTCGGGCCTGGCTCGAGCTAGATGGAATCGAGCCCTGGCTCGGGCTGAGCCCCATTTTGGGGGGTCGGCTCGAGCCGAGCCTGCCCGTGATTAATTAAAAAAATACAAATAATAAAAAAAAAATTAAAGCTAAAATAGCTGAAAAAATAAAAATAAAATTAAAAAAATCAAGCCAGCTCGGTTCTGCTCGG